CCGTGCGTTTCACGTGGAAAGTTATAAATCCATGAGCGATGAAATGGAGTCGATCTGAATATTAATACATAAAAAAATAATTAATATGTAGTTGTAGAAGCAAATATAAGAAAATGGTTACCGACCCGTGGGAGTATACTTTTTACGCCACTATTAAAGGGTCCTTTACATAAAAATCGTAGACGGTCGTCGAGTCTTAAGTCGTAGGAAACTGACCAATTCCAATCGAGTATTCTCCTTATATTTGATTGTGATTGGTTAGTTTCCTATGACTTAGCCCGGATCCTCATACGGGCAACAGCGCTTTGACACCGAACGCTGATTGGTGAAAAGCCAGTTGTAGGAGTAAAATTTATCCCCACAATTGGCTTTTCACCAATCAGCTCTCGGTGTCAAAGCGCTGTTGCCCGTATAAGGATCCGGGCTTAAGACTCCACGACTGTCTACGACTTCTATGTAGAGGACCCTTAAGTATCGCCATGATTTTGATTGCTGCTCCGCTGCTTGACGCTTGCTGTGTCCAGTCTGAATTATGCCTAGTTCAAACTGGACGCAGCAAGCGTCAAGCAGTGGAGCAGCAACCAATCAGCGAGGCGATATTTACAGTGGCGTAAAAAATACCACCTTGCTGGTTGGTTGCTGCTATGCTGCTTGACGCTTGCTGCTTCCAGTCTGAACTAGGCATTAGGCATAAGGAAGATTACTATTTTTTTGGGTCGATTTAAAAAAAATCGATTTTTTTTAATGAAATATTATAATATGAAATGTCAAAAATATGTACATACAACAAATTTCAAATCGAAATTCGTAAAATTGGCGAAATTATAGCATAAACCAATTCGACGCCCAGGCTGCTTCATCAATGAGATTATATTATTTTGAATTAGCCAATTGGTGTGGGTAATGGATATACATCCATTAAATCAAGATGTACTTGAAAATTTATTAGAGTCATCGGTGTTGCGTATGACAATCCTACCATTCTCGATTTCAAGAACCCCTTGAAAAGATATATTTTAGGCAAGCGTACTAATTTATTTTGTAATGAAGGTGCTTGTAATGTTTCAGCAGAACCTGATTTAATTTACTTTGTGCCCTCTCTTGCTATTGGCAAAACTACTGGTGAATCCGAAATACTGAGTGGAATGCTTGAATCGTATATGTTTGAGGACAATTGCTGGATTCACACTGCATCCGATGTACGTCTTATGACGCTCTGCAACCAATCATAAAACAAGATTCCGATGGATTTTGCTTTGTATCCTCGTATCTTTTGATAACCTTGACCTTGACATATGTTGTCAAGGTCATGATCCTAAGTGACCTTGAACAAATTTCAGCCACCGCTCACTGTTCGTTAAAAAGTTATTAACAGTCAAAGTTAGTAATTATTTCTCTGCTTATTATATTAGGCAGGGAAATATAAAATATTGAAAAATGAAACGTTATTATCTTACAGATTAATTATTTATTGAATATAATTTACTCATTATTTCAAAAAATGTATCTATATGCTCATCACATGTATAGAGTCTTTTGAACAAATATTCTGCTATATAATATTCACAATGATATTCCCGAGTACTAAAACGGGGAGGGCTCCGATTGCACACATCGTATATTGCACACATGTATCGCTGATTGGCCAATTTAAAAATAAAATAATCTCATTGGCAAAACAGTAAAAAATTACTAGGCACCAGTTGATATGAGTGGTGTGTACAATCAGAACTGTAGGCAAACGGGATCCTCCCACTAAAACGTGGGATATTGACTCGCAATTCTCTCCATAATCTTTCGATCTTTTGCGTATGAACTCCGGTATTAGGATCTACAAAATTCTCAGAATGATTTACAACTTTGTGTATATAATTTTCATTATTAAGGGTTGTATATGCGGGCCAGCAATCACTATGAATAGTCGATCCAGGAGCAATATATTTATGAATCAATAGCAATAAAGTTTCTGAACTCCGATTTTCTACAGGTATAATAAAAATTCTTTCCGTGTTACGTTTTATTCCGCCAAATATCCACTGTCCTTTTAAGATACGACCTTTATTAAATTTTCTTCTGTCAAGTTTTGCTTCGTCTATTTCTACAACAATTCCTGCGTCGTACGACTCTCTGCAACCAATCAGAAAACAGGATTCCGATGATACGAAGCAAAATCTATTGGAATGTTGTTTTCTGATTGGTTGCAGAGCGTCGTACGACGCA